ACAGCTGAGACTATTTAAGCCTGTAGTTTCACCTGTGTGAGGGAGGATTGTTATTGAGTGTGTGTTGATGCTGTGAGGAGAATAAACCAACTGCTGTTTCCACCTTACTCTACCTCTCATAATCTTCTGCACCGTAAAATCCAACCGCAAACGGCCGCCTTGTTACAATGGCCCACCACAGCCCCCCTGCCTCACACCCCGCCCAGCTGAAAGAAACGTGTCATAGGCTATGACGCAAATCTTTGTTGACAGAAATGTTGAAATTTTATATTTATTTTTATAGCTTTGGAAAACATTAAGAATGATTGTGTCATGTTTGTTCTCCTACAGAAACCATATTAAAACAAAAAATTTATTTCCCACCCCAATCTATTTCCATTTTCAAAGCTCCAGGGAGCCACTAGGGCAGTGCTAAAGAGGCGCATGCGGCTCTCGAGCTGCAGGTTTTCAACCCCTGTACTAAACTGACTGAAGATGAATACATAAACTAAAAAAGCTGGAGTATAGACATTTTTTATAAGCGTATCTGTGAGCCTGCCTCTTTATTATGAAATTGAATATAATTTCAGATCTTTGTATAACTGTTCTTCAGGTGAACTTAGAAAGTGAGCTATTATTATTATTATTATTATTACAGGTTAGTTTTCTAAACTACAAAAAAGTAACTGTTAGAGAAGCTCAAATATGAAAAATTTGCCTGATATTGATATCGGATAGTAACACCGGTGTTATGCCAGATTTACCAATATTTTATTTTATACATTTTTTTAATCCAATTATTCGATTAATCGTAAGAATAATCGATAGATTACTCGATTACTAAAATATTAGTTTACAACAGCCCTAATATGTACACACACACGTACGTATGTGCACGGAAATACATACACACATACATATATAATATTCTGAGTGAAAAATGATTCTTAAAAAATTGGCAATTAAAAATGTATAACATAAAATAAATATTCATTGCTTTTAAAGTGCCTGGACTAATTCAACAGCGGTCCAATAGCCACATAAAGAGTGGAATGGAGAGGTATTTATCTCAAATATACACGTTAACATTATGTTTTTGTCGTAATAAACCTGAAAGTTTGACATGAATAAATTTTCTTTTATGAGAGTAAATTAGTCACTTAAAATCAGTATGAAAACTTGTCACTGGCAGCTTAAAATGTAGATTTTTAAAATTAAAATCATTTCATGGTAAGTTGCAGCTCAAGAGATCTAAACTGAACAAAAATGTGGACTACCACTTACAATGAATTTGGTGTTTGACACATTGCCCTATCATTTGGGGTTTTTCATTTGTACCTAAACACAGGCAAACACTGACACCATAATTGGAAATCATTTCTGCTCAGGTTTTCTTTTAAAAAATGTTCAAAAGTTGCTTTGACTTGGTTGTAAAAGTGTACAGAACTAATTTTAAATATTCACCCATAAATCTGTTCAGCATCAGCAAGTTAATCATGCAGAGTGATTGAATGAGTAACCAGAGTGAATTAAGGGTCATGCAGCACGTTCCAACGTCCCATCAAAGTGTCAGACAGTCATTCACACAGGGAGGCAGACACTGTACTGTACCATAGTGACTATAGATTTTATCATCATTTTCTCCTCGGAACCTGCCTCGCCTTCTCTTATCTTTACCACAGGTACCTCCATTACTGTGATGGCCTGGAAAAAACCAACCAGCAGGACATGGAGGTCAAACACTGGCATTTAAAGAAAAAAAAAAGATCATAACAAAAGAAGGGCAAATATGAAAGCTGAGAGAGAAAATTGCAGAAGGGCAAGGACAAATGCATACAAATTACTACCATGTGGGGACAAAAACACAATGAGGGGTGGATTTCTGGACACAGTGAGGGGCAGGTCTAAGAAGATGGGGCGGAATCTTTGTCCTTGCAAAGTTTAAAGATGGTGTCTTCAAACAAATATCACACACCTAAAGGAGGATGGACGAAGAGCAAAAGATCATCCTGTTAAAAATGTATATGATGTTCAAAGCCTCAGGAGGGAGGTGGAGAAAAGGGACAGATGCCGATTTGTTCTTGGGTCTGCTGAGAACAAATCTGAGAATAAACTGCAAAAAAATAAAAACCTTAGCCATGGTCTGGCTTTCCTTTCTACCTTACAATCTGCAACAAATACAAGCTGGGGGGAACCACAGAGGACCAGCAAGTTGGACAACCTTCTCCGTTTCAGTGTGAAGTGATTTCCATAGAAGCATAAGCAGCAGGAGAATAAGGGTTCAAGATAACTACAGCCCTTTCTCCATAGCTGTGGCTTTCACCAGTTCTCCCTCTGTCAGTCCCAGCCAGATTCTCCATTAGTGGATCCTGCACAGCGGGACAACTAAGTGGGCAGGGTGTACAAATCTGGAAGTAGCCCGGAATCGAGACTGCTTTAGTTGACCCGTCTCACCATCTCAACCAAACTGATCACAGTATGGTTAGACCTGGAAGGCCAAATCTTTTTATGAATTAGGAAGAGCAAATACAATATCAACTGGATGGAGCAACCTGCAACGAACAGATGGACCAAGAGATTTTGGAGAAACTGGTTGCCTAAGGGTACACTTGTAAAATGACATCATCAGAGCAACAAGCTCAGCTCCTGCACGCTCACGGCCCACCCACGTTCCTGCCTATACTCATCCCCACATAGAGAGGAATAAACTGCTAATGGAGACACACCCAACTCTGCTAGGACCAAACTAGACATTAACTGGCTAGAGTGGGATTTGGCAATGGAGGAGGTTAAAGCTTAAAGCTTCAGGACAGAAT